AATGAACCTCATTGAAGTGAAATGTCTAAATGGGGATAGAAATGAAGAAGAAAGGAATTCTTTTTTCTACAAAGTGTCAGGGATGAGAAGCTTGTGAAATGGTTCATAAAGACAAAGCAACAAATTCATTAAATGAAGGGGGTGTAAAGAACAAAGGGAAGGGGAACATATTCCTGAAAATAGTATATACCAACATAGATGGAGTGAGATAGAAAATATTAGAGTTGAAGGATATATTTCAGCTCAAAGTCCCAGATATTGTTGCATTAACAGAGACAAAATTTGAAGAAAATATTTTAAATGAGGCCGTATTCCCAAGGGGCTACTCAGTTTGGAGACGTGACAGGAAAACTAGGAAGGGTTGAGGAGTGGCTGTGCTGGTGAAAGAACACCTGAGGGTAAAAGAGTTAATATTTGAAAACCCTCAAGATATTGACATAATGGCATTGCAGGTCTGGAATCAAGATAAGCTGATAATTTTAAATGCCTACAGTCCACCAGCATCACATGGACAAAAGAAGAACTGGATGACAAACGAGAGGGCCTCATAATGGTCATGAGAGAGATTATGGTAAGAGCTGACAAAGATAAATCCTGATTGCTGGTAATGTGGGAACTTCAACTTTAAGGCAATAGACTGGGAGGCCTACGAGGCAAGAACAGAGGACATTTGGACACGCAGATTTGTAAACCTCATCATGGAGACATTCATGCATCAACACGTCAAGCAGGCCACAAGAATGAGGGAATCTTGAGGTTATCTTGAGATGATTTCGGGGCTTTTTAGTGTCCCCGCGGCCCGGTTCTTGACCAGGCCTCCACCCCCAGGAAGCAGCCCGTGACAGCTGACTAACACCCAGATACCTATTTTACTGCTAGGTAACAGGGGCATAGGGTGAAAGAAACTCTGCCCATTGTTTCTCGCCGACGCCTGGGATCGAACCCAGGACCACAGGATCACAAGTCCAGCGTGCTGTCCGCTCGGCCGACCGGCTCCCTGGGGAAGGGGATGTTCTGTCAGTACTGGATCTAGTATTCACCAGAAAAGAAGAAGAGGTATTTGACATCCAGTACCTTCCTCCCTTAGGAAAGAGTGATCACGTCCTCTTGGACATTGAATACACTATGCAATATAATCTAGTAGAGAATGGGGACAGTGAAACAGTTGTTAAACTCGATTTCAAGAGAGGACACTATGGGGAACTTAGAAATTCTTTTCATGGGTATAATTGGATAGACTTGTTGCTAGGCAAGGAAGTAAATGAGATGAATGCCAAACTTTGCAAAATATACGATGAAGGCACACATTCATTCATTCCAAAACAGACATGCAGACCTAGGAAACAGGGTTGGTTCAACAGAAATTGTAAGAGGGCCGGAGATCAAAAGACACAAGCATGGAATCATTATAGAAAGAGGCCAAACCCCCAAATATACCAGCGATACAAAGATGCAAGAAACAACTACATGTCAGTAAGGAGAGAGGCAGAGAGGAACTTTGAGAATGGTATAGCAGACAAATGTAAATCAGATCCAGGCGCAGGCGATGAGTCTGGTCAACAGATCCAGGCCTTTTCTATAGATTCATTAAAAGCAAACTGCAGGTAAAGGAAAATATTCAGAGGTTGAAAATGGGGGACAGATACATGGAAAATGAAAAGAAATGTACTTACCTAATTGTGCTTGCGGGGGTTGAGCTTTGTCTCTTTGGTTCCGCCTCTCAACTGTCAATCAACTGGTGTACAGATTCCTGAGCCTACTGGGCTCTATCATATCTACATTTGAAACTGTATGAAGTTAGCCTCCACCACATCACTGCATTGTGCATTCCATTTATTAACTACTCTGACACTGAAAAAATTCTTTCTAATGCCTCTGTGGCTCATCTGGGTACCAAGTTTCCCCTGTGTCCCCTTGTTCGTGTCCCACCCGTGCTGAAGAGTTTGTCTTTGTCCACCCTGTCAATTCCCCTGAGAATTTTGTAGGTGGTTACATGTCACCCCTGTAACTTACTCTTCTTACTCTTCTGTTTTCCAGGGACGTGAGGTTCAGCTCCATGAGCCTTTCCTCGTAGCTCATACCACTCAGTTCCGGGACGAGCCTGGTGGCATAGTGCTGAATCTTCTCTAACTTTGTCTTGTGTTTAACTAGGTATGGACTCTAGTAGGCTGGGGCTGCATATTCCAGAATTGGTCTGACATAAGTGGTATACAGGGTCCTGAACGATTCCTTATACAAGTTTCTAAAGGCAGTTCTTATGTTGGCCAGTCTAGCATATGCCGCTGATGATATCCTTTTGGTGTGGGCCTCTGGGGACAGGTTCGGTGTGATATCAACCCCCAGATCTTTTTCTCTATTTGACTCTTGCAGGATTTCACCTCCCAGATGGTACCTTGTGTTCAGCCTCCTGCTCCCTTCATCTACCTGCTTGATACCTGCTTGATGGGGTTCTGGGAGTTCTTCTACTCCCCAAGCCCGGCTGAAGGCCAGGCTTGACTTGTGAGAGTTTGGTCCACCAGGCTGTTGCTTGGAGCGGCCTGCAGGCCCACATACCCATCACAGCCCAGTTGGTCCGGCACTCCTTGAAGAAAACAATCTAGTTTTCTCTTAAAGATGTCCACGGTTGTTCCGGCAATATTTCTGATGCTCGCTGGTAGGACATTGAACAACCACGGACCCCTGATGTTTATAGTGTTCTCTGATTGTGCCTATGGCACCTCTGCTCTTCACTGGTTCTATTCTGCATTTTTCATTACCATTGCCTGATTTCATTACCTTACACTTTTCCCTGTTTAACTTTAGCAGTCATTTTCTAGACCATTCCTTCAGTTTGTCCAGGTCATCCTGTAGTCTCTGTCTATCTTCATCCATCTTGATTCTTCTCATAATTTTTGCATCATCAACAAACATTGAGAGGTATGAGTCTATACCCTCCGGAAGATCGTTTACATATACTGTATTAGAAACAGGATGGGTCCAAGTACTGAGCCCTGTGGGACTCTGCTGGTGACATCTCGCCACTCTGACGCCTCCTCCTCACCGTTACTCGCTGTTTCCTGTTGTTTAAGTACTCCCTTATCCACTGGAGAACCTTTCAGTGGATAACCATGTGTGAAACATTAAATGAAAAGTTCCAAAGTGTGTTTGTACAAAATGAGATCTTCAGAGAACCAGACACAATAAGAATTCCAGAGAACAGAATAGAGCACATATAGGTGTCTAGAGACGAAGTGAAACAAATGCTCTTGGAGCTAAGTAAGAACAAAGCAGTTGGCCCAGTTGGTTCTGAGAAAATGTGCACCTGAGCTCAGCATTCCACTCCAGCTGATTTTTCAGACATCCCTACGTACAGGAGTCATAGCAGGTGTGTGGAAAAAGGCTAACATAGTTCCAATCTACAAAAGTGGCAGCAGGAAAGACCCCCTCAATTATAGACCTGTATCATTGACAAGTGTAATAGTCAAAATATTGGAAAAAATAATAAAAACTAAATGGGGTAGAACACCTGGAGAGCAATGATATAATATCAGACAGACAGTATGGTTTTCGATCTGGAAGATCCTGTGTATCGAATTTACTCAGTTTCTATGATCGAGCCACAGAGATTTTACAGAAAAGAGATGGTTGGGTTGACTGCATCTACCTGGATCTAAAAACAGCTTTCGACAGAGTTCCACATAAGAGGTTGTTCTGGAAACTGGAAAATATTGGACGGTTGACAGGTAAGCTTCTAACATGGATGAAAAATTTTCTGACTGATAACTGCCCTCATTTTTCTATCAGAGGCAATGTATCGAACTGGAGAAATGTCAAGTGGAGTACCACAGGGTACAGAGTTCTTGCACTGGTGATGTTCATTGTCTACATAAAAGATCTACCAGATGGAATACAGAATTATATGAACATGTTTGCTGATGATGCTAAGATAATAGGAAGGATAAGCAACTTATCCTTCCTAACTTCTTGAAGGGCATGATTGTCATGCCCTTCAAGAAGACCTGGACAAAATAAGTATATGGAGCACCACTTTGCAAATGGAATTTAATGTGAATAAATGCTATTTATGGAATGTGGAATAGGAGAACATAGACCCCACACAACCTATAAATTATGTGAGAAATCTTTAAAAAATCGTGATAAAGAAAGAGATCTAGGGATTGTTCTAGATAGAAAACTATCACCTGAGGACCACATAAAGAACGTTGTGCGAGGAGCCTATGCCACGCCTTCTAACTTCAGAATTGCTTTTAAAAACATGGATGGGGAAATACTAAAGGAATTGTTCACAACTTTTGTTAGGCCTAAGCTAGAATATGCAGCAGTTGTGTGGTGCCCATATCTTAAGAAGCACATCAACAAACTGGAAAAGGTGCAAAGACATGCTACTAAGTGGCTACCAGAACTGAAGGGCAAGAATTATGAGGAGAGGTCAGAGGCATTAAATATGCCAAAACTAGAAGACAAGAAAAAGAGGTGATATGATCTCTATGTACAAAATAGTAACAGAAATTGATAAAATTGATAGGGAAGATTTCCCAAGACCTGGAAATTCAAGAACAAGAGGTCATAGATTTAAACTAGCTAAACAAAGATGCAGAAGAAATAAGAAAATTCGCTTTCGCAAATAGAGTGGTAAACGGTTGGAACAAGTGAGGTGAGGTGGTGGAGGCCAAAACCGTCAGTAGTTTCAAAATGTTATATGACAAAGAGTGCTGGGAAGACGGGACACCACGAGCGTATCTCTCATCCTGTAACTACACTTAGGTAATTACACTCGGTTCCATAATTTTTTCATCCTTAGGCCCTCCAAAGGTCCTAATGCAGCCCTGTATACACAGTTCATCACCATACTCCTTAAACTATGGCATCACCATGTTAGTTGCGAGTGTTTGCTCTATCACCGAGCAACACTAACGCCACTAACTTTACATAATAATGTTTTCAGCCAAGCTTTTACAATGCACATGTTATAGGTATTCAGCATAGTGAAATCAACCAAGTGGAAAAAATAGTTTATTGCACCATTTTACATACCTACATACACATTACTGACTTAATCATGTTACACTTGCACACCAAATGTATATTTATATTATAGCCTTGGATAGCATTCTAGTACAGTACAGTATTCCATTTTATTTATAGACCTTTTAATCCTGGGGAGGTTTCCTTTCTGTTGTCTACCATCACACTAGTGTTGAATAGCTATGAAAACATCACACTTGTTTTTCCACCTGATTAACCCTTGGGTCCCTGTTTGTACAAGACAACACTGTGGTGCATGGGAAAAACAAATACAGCGGAACCTCGGTTTTCACACGCTCCCGTTTTCATATTTTTCGGTTCTCGTACTCAATTTTTTTTAAATTTGATTCGGTACTTGTTGTTTGCCTCGGTTTTTGGAATTTGTTTATTCAAATTCTGCCTTAGTAGACACCACACTCAGAGTATGGGAAATACGAGTGTATGAATGGCATCTTTAACATTGCTCGAGAGTTCCAAGGAATTCTTGTAGTTGGACACAACACTTCATCAAGATGTCAAAGTCATCTTGATGTTAAAACTTCTGATGCCATCAGAGATTTTAACCCATAGGCATACAAGCTTATGAATTAAAAACAAATACAGAACCTTGAGAACTCAAACTTAATTGGTTCCAGAAGGCCTTTTGAGTGCCGATCTGTTCGAATACCAAGCAATTTTTCTCGGAGAATAATGTAAACTGGATTAATACATTTCAGACCCAAAAAAACACAAATGAATACAAAACATATGAAAACAATATATAAATGAAATAAATGTAAATATATGCCTCACTTCACCTGCACTTAGGAGAGTTGATGGTGTATGCGGACAGTGGCATGGAAGAGGAGAGGTGTTATTGTGTGGCAGGGGGAGTCCCTTTCCATACAAACTTCACATACTGTAATTGTGCTTCCGAGATTCTTTATCTTCTCTGTCTTCTTCTACTTCCCTCTTGAGACTCGCTGGATGTTTTTCTTACAAGTAACTTGTCCAACGATATTTGTAGTAAGGACACACACACAAGCACTACTTTCATATTTTGCTATGCATTCTTTTCCAGCTCTATCATGGTTCTAACTAATTTTCTTTTCATTTGGCTCTTATCACTAACTTTTTTAGATGCCACGGTGACTTATTTATGCTAGGAATATAAAATAATATCCAAGAAAACACAAGAAAGTTTACACATAAAATTTACAGTTAAATAAAACAGTTTACACAGATTTTTTAAGTGCTGGGTAGACGGGACACCACGAGCGTAGCTCTCATCCTGCAACTACACTTAGGTAATTACAGAAGTTTAGAGGGGTATTTACCAAATGACAGCTACTTGGATACTGACTCGTTCAGTACACATCTTTACATTTGAGTTCTGAGCAAACAGTTTACTATCAAGCACGAACACGAGTTCAAGAGCCAAATTGATAGAGTTGGGAGCTGTTCAGGTACCGAGATTCCTCTGTACTGTACTTTATTTGATTTTCATTTTGAATTTTACATTTTTATTTTTTAGTAATGTACCAGTATGAAAACCTGCACAAAACACAGTTGATCTCCATAAACTAAATATTGTATTTATTTTGATACTATGTAGAATTTGAGGCATAAATCCTAATGTGCAGAGCTGGGAGTCAAGCAAATTTATTAGTAGAAACTCTAAAGCAAATGTCAATGAAAATTTTAACCTAAAATACTGAACTGAATTTCTCCCGCTAGAATAAATATCACAAATATAATCAATGAAACTAATATGAGAGTGAACACCTTCAACATGACAGAGAACATCTGCTGAAAAACCAGAGGTAACTCATTAAGCAACGAGGATTAAAAAGGTGTCAGGTGTGAGAGGCTGCCATGCGTGATGAGTCTGATACTAGTGGAGCTGTGGCAGGGGTCAGCTGTGGCACAGCATCTGATTGTGAGAGGTTCGATGCCAAGAGTAGTGTAGCTGGTGGCCCAAGTAGAGATTTGGATGCTGCCTCCTCCAGTTTTCCATTGGCTTCGTCTTTGAAGAAACGACAGGTCAAGCAAACCACAAATAGATTAACAAAGCGGCTGATCAAACCTGTCGATAAAAAAATAATAATTAGAAAATTATAATATACAAAAATGTATAGGAATTACTGCCTTACTCTTGTGTAAGGCAGTAATTCAAGTATGGCAGTAAGGTGTATGCTGAAAAACTTATATTACCCCCAAAAAAATGAAAATCAAAAGTACTTTTGCAGAACTGTCAAAGCTCAGTAATTTGAATCAAATTGGGCCCCTCCCACCTAAGAACTAGCTGAACATTCCACTTAACCAAATTTACCAGGAGTGTCCAAAATTAAATACAGTATACCTGTATTCATAATTTCCACATCTAGATTCCTTTGTAAACAACACTTATATTGGGTAACAAAGACACACTAATATAAATGAGGCTCAAGTTAAAAGTTTTATTTAACACAAAACTCATTTAAAATGCAAGTCATTTAATGACACAAGGTTTCCCAATGGAACTCACTACAAGAGGGTTGGCCAAAACAAATTCCAGGCACCAGGAAACCAACATAACTTGCCCTCCTTGAACCTCTTACTCTAATCCACTATAGTGTCTTCTTTCCTATCATTTTTAAGAGTCTTCTATCAGCCCTTCTGTATTGTTCAAACCACAAGACAAAATTGGTTTTCGCCCATTCTTCTACCCAACACTTTTTTTATATCGTCCCACAGAGCAGCAGAGCAGGAATCAGAAAACAGCACAGCAGCAGAAAAAGTCAGGAACTGGTGAAAGTTGTTGCAAAGTCACGTCTAGAGGTAAACAACGGGAAGAGATAATGATAAGGGTGAGGAGTATATAAAAAAAGAAAAAAAAAAAAAAAGAGAATCCTCACGGAAAGTGTGAAGGAAGGTTTGTGATTAACTCGGCAAGAGGTTTCCAGTCTACATAATAGATCTAGAGCAGAAAGTGAACTACGTGGGATTTGCTGATGACCACAAGCAGCATTAGACAGCACAGCAGTTGCTAAATAGTAAGTCAAATAAAAGACACCTATAAAACAAGGCAACAATTACCACAGGGGAAATTAAGGTATAACCATACTGGCTGAAAACATTTTCAGGGGTACCAAGTTATTCAATAATTAAATTTTAAATAAAACACTAAAGACTGGAGAGCCCCCAGAAAACTGGAAAATTAAATCCCAGTATTCAAGAGACAAAGATAGGAAGCACTGAACTATACACCAGTGTCATAAAAATTGTATTCCTTTCTAAAGACCGGAGAAAGGAAACAGGAAGAGAATGATGAGGCAAAGACGAGAATAACCTTTCTGAAGAGAAACTGTTTAAAGGAAGAAAAAAAAAAAAGAGTCATGGGTGACAAACTTATTAATTTAACACTTTCGCTGCCCTATGCCGCATATTCCATCATGTTCTGTCATCATATTCTGATGACAAAAACACCATCATTAATTTAACAAAAATTGTAGAAATTTAATTTATTGTCCAAATTCTATGGGACCTGTTTTAAAATAAGCTCCAACTTCTGCCCATTTTCTGTATACCCAACGTGGCATCCTAACCCTGGAGGCTCACTGTTCTCGTGACAGCCGTGGCCTTCGAGTTGAAAGTGATTTCCCCATTCCAGTTAATTTATCTCGGGTATTTGTTGTTACTATCTTTATAAACACTGCAAATTGACTTCCAGATGAATACTGATCAAGAACAGAGCTAATCCATAATGAAAGCACCGAAAGAAACACATACGAGGGAAAAATATTGAGTTTTCATCGAAAGTACAGGTATAGAAAAGTGAGACTTATATGTTCTTATATGCAAATATCCCTTTACAGCATTCTACTGCAAACAATTTGATACCAAATTCAACAACCAATTTGAACAATGTATCACGAAATATCAATACCAATTTGAACGATGTATCGCGAAAATTGAGATCAGAAAAAAAAGATATAAATGTTTGTGGGTGGAGGCGAGTTCACGCATACCGTTCGGCCAACCTTGAGGTGCGCATCGAGTCGTCCGCCTGGGCAGCGAAAGCGTTAATACAGGTGTTTTACAACATACAGTAGTTGCCAGGACCTAATAGGAGAAAGAAGGCTGGATAGACTGCATTTTCTTAGACTGTCAAGAAACATTTAACACGGGTGCACACAAAAGGTACACTAGTATATTAGTGTACAAGATGTAAACAAGCTGGAATAACTAGAAAAACACTGAACCAAGTAAGGGAATACACATGGACAAGAACTCACCTTTTGAAAACCATCATATTAACTTCACCAGCATTTACCTTTGATTATCTTCTGTTGCACAATTGGTAAAACACTGTCATCGCTAATTTTTTTTATAGCAATACCAATCCACCAAACAGAATTATTTCGAGGAAACATTTCTAATCACCTCGTTCAAGCCTAGCTCCTGCTTTTGTTATCTGATAATATGAACATAGAGGAAGTTAAAAAGATTTCAGGATTTTATATAATTAAACAATAATTTGAAAAATCACCTGAACACGTGAAGACCCCTCCAACTATCCCACAAAGCCGCGTGAGAAATTTTATCAGAGACTCGCGACGCTCCACCACCTCCACCTTCAAGGCAGACACATCATACTTGAAATAAATTCCTGGTGTTCCATGGGAATTCTGTTGGAATTGTAAAGGTATAATTAAGACATCACATCATTCATCATAAAAAATATTTACACACAGTATACTGCATAGAATTTTGGTGCATCAAAATTATCATTTTTAGGCATTGTTTACCTCTACTCTTTTCCTTATTACATAAGTTGTTTATTTCAGTCTGATTTTCTTGTACAGTATTTATCCACATTGTAATCACTGCAAAAAATCAACACCTTAACCCTCAGTAATGAGTGCTACGTAGTCTTCCAATCTTGTTGCTTTCTTTTGATAATTAATATAATTTAAAAGAGTACAAGCAATGATAAAATGTGCCAAGGAAAAAAAGGATTTGACTATGAAAAAGTGCAAGCTTATATGACAGCTGAAATATATATATGTATAAATAAATAAATAAATAAATAATTTTTATATATTTATTTATTTATTTAGAAAAGTGAGAATATCAGTGAAGAAGTTGACATGTTGGAAAGCCGCTGGTGTTGAGGTACAAGCAGAAATGCTTAAAGAAATGAAGTGGGGTCTTGAGAACGTGCCCAAAGTCTTGGACTACTGGTAATGTGTCCAAAGATTGGAGAAAAGCAGTGGTTATATCACTACAAACAAACAGCGAAGTAAGACTTATGGAGGCAATGGTCTAAAACAAACTGTAGGAGAAGTGCTTGAAGAACAGAAAATTATATTATGACATCAATTACTTAAACCAACTGGTACTTTTGGATTTCAAGATAATTGAAAATTCAGATAATCTAATGAAAGATACAGAGGTACAATTTTGAAGCAATTGTATTTTGTTATTTATTTTGACAATTGTGCAAAACAGATCTATAATGGAGTTTTAATAGGAATGCACCAATGTATGTAGGACACCATTAGTATTTTTGTACTATTTAGTATAAGCAAGTGTCTTTTGTGCTGATTGTTAAGTGACTTTATGGATAAACGGGGTTGGAGAACAGGCATTTTCTGTATCATGATAATCTTAGAATCAGGAAAACAGAGAACCAGATAAAGGGGATCCCACTGTACTAATAAACTGACGAGTGATGAACGTGGGGTTCCATGGTGGAACGGAGGAATGTGTAGACGAGACATTTGACAAGCAGCAGCTTATAGCGAAGGCGTGCGGAAATGTCAGATGCACATAACATGTTTGGAATTATAAAAAGCATACAAGAGGAGAGTTATGAACATGTATGGAGTTGACAGAGTGCTATTAAACACTGTGAAACTTATCCAAGTAGGTAGCAGTGCATATGTAAGAGTTAGTGTAATCAGTGACTGGTATGATATAAATGTAGCTGTATGTGAGGGTTTAGTGATGTCACCCTAGTTATTGAATACATGCATGGACGGGGTCATGAAGGAAGTGAAGGTAAAAATGTTAAGAGGGGTGTGTACCTAGTGTGCAGGCCTAATGTGAGGAACTAAAGTATGGGTGATGCATACAGAAAATATTATTCTTTCATCAGAGTGAGAGCGCGCTACGTAGACTACTTGACAATTTTATTGATGTGTGCAAGAGAAGAGTTTAAAGTAAATATACATGAAAGTAAAATTATGGTCGAGGAGTGAGGAGTAAACATCATGTGTGAAATAAACGCATAGTAGTTGGTAAAACGCTCATAGTGGTCAATCAGTTTAACTGCCAGTAATGTGTGATTGGCAAAAAGAGAAACTTGTCCAACACAAAATAAAACATTGATAATGACTACAGATGCACTATACAACATACCTTTTCATGTGAAATTTCTCTGTTTTGTTCCGAAACAGAGTATTGGAACGAAGAGCCACGGTGACTGTACGTATTGACGTATGTTGGCACCACTGTCACAAAGTACTGATATGTCATGTGATCTGGTCAAGGAAAAGAAAGCAAAAATACTAAATAATTTTTTGTTATGGTAAAAATTATGAAACAATTTTGTACAAGCAAGATTTCAAAGACAAGAGGGAGAAAGGACGGGGATGCTTTCCCATCAGTGACTATGGGGGAGCAAGATCCCCATCTCTTTGTGCTCCATCCCTAACCATTTGTACCTGGCACACTAATTAACTCTCAACTTTAAAATTTATCATATTTTTCTTAAACTTGTGGATGGGAAGGGAAGACATATACTCAGTTACTCTGTGTTACATGTGTAATTACCCAAGTAATTATCCAAGTGTAGTTATAGGATGAGAGCTACATTCATGGTGTCCAATCTTCCTGGCACTTTTTGTCATATAACGATGGTGTATGTGTGTGTGTATGTGCGCATAAGTGCATGCATATTTAATTATTTACATGCATATGTATACAACTTCACGTGGCCCCATGGTCAGGGTTCAATCTGCTGTAGGCAACATTGTCAGAGCTGGAGGGAGGAAGGCGGCTTAAACTATTCACTGTAGTCTTGCAACAGGTAACATCCACACTATTCCTAGCGCTACATATACAAATATGTACTTACATATACATACATATAGAAATGCATAAAACACAAATAAATATGAAAATCTTAAACTCACTCTTGGTAGCAACTTGCTCATCCCCCTCTAATGGATGCACAATGCCAGGCGCTGGGTCACCGAAGGACAGCTTGTGGATTCGGTGGGTGAAATTGTAATCTTTGTCATCCATAAATACTGCCAAATGAGCATGGCCCCTTGGAAGTGGTATGGTTTTACCTACAAAGACCAAATTATTGTTAAACATGTACATGAAGTCATGTAAAGACAATCTGAAAAGAACAAAAATCCAGTATTGAAAATAATGCAGTGCCACTTTCTGGTGTGTCTCCTTTGTATCTTCCCAAGCAAGCAAACTGGAGTCCTCCAAACCCAGGTACCACACCAGAATTATGAGTACCTACCAGTACCAAAATTTGGCCCCTGAATAGAGGCAAGACGAGTCTGGGAAAGTACAAGACCACCACAGTAACCAATGGGCAAAACCTCCAGAGGAGGAGAGATGGGGGATGGGGGCAAGGAAATGAGAGAGGAGACCACAGAAATCTGCAGAGAGGAAATTGAGCCCTCAGGAGATGGGGCAAAGAGTACCAAAAAACAAACTAGGAAAGAGGATAAAATAAGCTTCATGGTAGAACAATCCCTCTGGCCTAGTTGTAATAAGGCCACAAAGAGGAAGACATGGCAAACCAGGGACCTCCTCAAGTGACCCTCCAAAACCATCAAACCCAGTCTTGCTATAGGAGAGGGGAGGGTCAGAGGAAAAAAGAGAAAGACCATCAGGCACAGAGGCCTCAGACCCAACAAAGCAGAGCCCCTAAGAACATACCACAAAACCATTGGGCTGCCTGATCACAGGGAGGCTCGAAGGCCGCTGTCAAAATCTCGGAGGAAACAGACCCACCTACCTCCACTACTAACATATCCACCACCAAAATATGGAAGTGCACAAGCCACAACATATGGGAAAGGCCAGGATATCAGAAGGGAATGCTGAATCAAGAACAGAGCAAGCAATGCAGAGAATGGGGGACCAGCTAAGGAGGACTCTCAGAGCAAGAAAAAGCCTCCTCTTGATTGACAGCCTGGGACTGCAATGCCTGGAATTCAAGAGAGGACACTAAAAGAAGGCCACAGCCTTTTGTGTGTGGGGGGGGGGTGAGGTCTGTCAATAAAAATTGGAATAAGCCCACAACTGCCACCACAATGATATACGCTTAAAACCACTCACTTGAGCAAAAAAGGGCAGCCCTGCATTCCAATAGGCAGAATAACTGCTGCTACAAGAAGATTAAGGCATTCAAAACTGCTAAATCACAACCTGTACAGCTGTGAGGAGCACAGTTCTGCCCCTGAATCAGATGTAGATTTCCCTAACCGTTCTGATGATTTTTTTGTTTGTTTGTTTTGGGCTGATAACTGATCCTCAAGTTCTAATCGCCTTATAGAGCCAGATTCTGATGGTGACCTCCAGTAGGTAAACACAGGTCTTGGAGGTTTGGTGCACTTTTTAAGGCCTGGCTAAACCATTGTACATGCTATGATAAGTTACTGAGGGGGCCTACCAGAAATATAAAAGAACATATTTAGAAATATATCGGTTCATCAGCAAATTCAGGGGCTGGTACGGATCAGATTCAACTTGAGAATGCAGCTCATATAGTAGGGGTTCGACTTCAAAAGGATTCAAACTATTTATTAGCAGACTATTTTTTGACATTCTAAATATAAATGGTGAAAACCATACAGCAGCCCAAGTGAGAATGCCTGACACTACCTCACTGGCTAAGGAGTGTATTTGTTTCCACTATTCCAAAGTAATAATATAAAGCTTAGTGATACTATTACCACACTGGCTCAAGTGAACGATAAAACATGAAGCACTAGGGGGAGAAAAAAAGGGAAAAATTATACAATACCAGCTGTGATATGGAAGTTCCCAGCTACTTTGTTGATCTCTAAACTCCCATACAGCCGACATGCATCTTTCTCTTGCTCAGGGAAGATTCGTCTGAAAAGAAATTGTGCATAAAGAGTCGAGCGAGACATGTCCCAACTTGCAGTAGCCAATATTTTCTTATTAATGATTACCTAATTTAGAGTGACAGAATTCTTCTATTAATGAGTACTGTACAGCTCTTTATAAGAAATTCTGGACAACAGGATAAGATTTTAAAGTTTTTGAAAGGCTTACTAGCTGCAATTACTTTGTTTCTAATTGGGTAACAGAAGTGATGAGATATATATATATGTAAGCAGTATAACCCATGCCAAAAAGCAACTAATAACATTTGCATATTTAAATTATATTACATTACTAAATATTTAAAAAGGCTGGGTAAAACTAGTATTATTAGTAAATACTTGTCAATAATTAACATCAATAATTATTTAATTACTGCATATGCTTGTGTAATAGTCAACCAACTATTATTTGCCATAAATCAAGTGCAGGATGAAATGAGATATCCTTTGCTGTGCAGCCGCAATAGCTTCTGGGTGCACAGTATTAGGCTCTGGTACCACAGGCCTACTCAACACCAGGGCCAGAAGCTGGTGTGCTCTTAAGAGGTGAGGGGAGGATGGGTATTAGAGACTGACCCAACTCTGAAAAATATTATGCACAAAATACAGGGAAAGCAAGACTAACCACAAATCTTAAAGAGAGAAAAGAAGTAAAATAAGGCAAACAGCAATTTGTCAATTGTATTCATCACACTAGTACCTATGTAAGCCATTCGGTAGATCATGTCACCCGGGGGTCATCCTGGCCCGTGCCCCCACTCACTTGCCACCCCAAATGCAGCTAATGCAGCCACCCAAAGAATACAATTTTATTACATATAAGAATTGATTTCTGGGCTGGCCCTTCAGTAGCTCCCAGTGAATATCTTAACAGCACCTTTGAGAGAAACCAGTTTTACTTAAATAAATAAATAAATGAAAAGAAAAATAGAAAAGGCTTACTAATGGGAGAAGGAAGCAAATCAATGGCTGAAAAGGTGCCAAAGTGCCAGACAAGCACTTCAAGATGTGGGACATCCAACTGCCAACACCCTGTTAGACCATCAGAAACTCCTCCCCCCCCCCCCCTCCCCACATCCCTCCACCCCAAATCAGAATATTAGCTGTGAATATATTTGCAAAGAATGTACATTCATGTCATGGCACCATGACTACATTCTTTGCAAATTACTACATTACCCTTGTACTCATATATTGGACATTATGGGTACGGGGTATACACAACAGACTGGCCGAACTGAACCACTGCCCCGAGAAAGCGGGATAGATGACTGACACAGAACCACAGCTCAGGAAACACAAGTAGCACATAAATAATGCCGACCAACAGTAACAGGACAGAGATCATAATGCATTCCTGGTCAGACAAATCCAGTACACACCACCCGAAGCCTTAAAAAAAAAGCAGGACTCAATCTTGGCTAAAAATTACTAATTGGCTGCAGGCACAGGAAGCAACTCTCTAGGATGAAATGAATGAAACCCTCCTGGCCTATGACGAAGAGCACAAAACTCGCTAAAATGACTACTGGGAGCAAAAGCTAACAAGTGGACCTGCCTGAAACAGGAATACTCAACCAAAGGAGACAAGAAACCAAGAGATAAACAAAACCGACCAAATTTGTTCATGAAGAACAATGGCAAGTTACTAGTAGGTAGCTAGAGTAGTAATTCATTTTATTTACAATTGCAATCACCATTTAAGGGGAGCCAATCTCTTTGTGTCGGATTGAGGTAACCTCTACTGTCAACCCACTGCTCAATAAGTCAAAATGTTTAGCAATGTAACTTGTCATTACTGTACAGTATTTGTCAGTAGGGTTAAAGTTACCTAAATCTGAGTGTGTGAGCAACATCCTATCTTGACCCAGGCCCTGAAGAAGGGAGCAACCAAAGACACCCACTCCAGAAACATGATACAATAATTGTACAGCACAAATTTATTATTACAAATACAGTAATGCAAATTTCTGTAAATATACTTACTCATGCATGTGTAAAAATAATAAACCAATAGAAAAACAACAAACAGTACATAAAAATAGTTACCTGCGAGGCATATCCCCAAAAATATCAGTATAACCACTTCTCCAGAGTAGCTCGTGTATGGAGTGAAACTGTTCTCGGAGATAATTGTTCACCTAGAAATGAAATACATTTGACAAATTAACTACATTTGAGAAATGTTTTTGTTACTTGCCTAATGACTGACTATTACAGCCATGGTTCAATATGATTATGCACCAATTGGAACAGGTGGTGCACAGAAGTACTACCAGTTGACACTTCAGTGGGGTTACTCCTCCAACCTTTTTGCCCTAGCAATGGTGTGGTGAGGGAGCAACCGTGTGCCTTTGAGCATGCTTGGTCTCAAGATGGTGGAATACAAAGAAACTAAATACCCAAATGAGCCATAGACAGAATATGTTCAGTGTAATAGTAAATATAAGGAATGCACTGTCAAGTGAAGTGGTGAAGGCAGACCCCAGACACAGCTGCAAATATACATGTGACAGAGTCCAACAGGCTGAGAAACTTGTACACGAGTTGATTAAAGACTGACAAGTGGGGCCAAAGAACCAAATCTCAACCACAGCATGGACACTTAGGCAATTACTCTTGTCCCAACCCTCCTATCCGCCATCCAACCATGCCCCCGCTACCCACCCATTCTTACCCAAACTCACTCCTGCCCTTTACTATCTTGTACCTTCCTACTCAATGCTCACTTAGCAGTGGTTGCAGGTGCTTAACTTCAGCTCTTTTGTCTTGCCTCATCCTAAGTTTTAAGAAGGATATTTTAACACACTGAGAAATATACCACAATACCCATGATACCAAGGTGGATACACACACACAGTGGGCATAATTCCCGCTAATCTCCATACATGGATTCAAGCTCATATGGTAGAAGGGCCACGAGCCACATAAGATAATAATCACTATTGTTATTATTAATACACTACAAAGGGCATTCACTGGGTGAAGATAAAACTTACAAAGACAAAATAATACTGCATAGCAAAATCAAAAAGGCGGTAATTAATTATAAGACATTCAACGTGACACTAAGCCTTTTGCAATAGTTTCCATGATCATTAGCATCATGAATACCAGAGCCACCAAATGTTATACTGTACTTTTATCCCTAAGGAAATGGGTTGAAAACATGGTAACCCATTTTCCATTATGTGATATAGAATATTATAAATTATACAAAGAGGCAACACATTCTCACCCTCTGTACACCTTCAAAATGAATTCGCTGATCAGGATCCAGCGCCCACCACGTATCCTCCAGATCTAAGGCGCCAAATGTCATCACTTGTTGGCCTGTCATGTCCAAAACATCGGCACCAACAACTGCAAAATGAAAACTAACAATTAACTATAATAATTATGCAGTATTAATATACTGTACAGTACTGTATTAGACTTCAGTTAGTACTTAAACGAAACACAGGGTACAAGACACAATCAGACCTACTCATAGAAGGAAAGCAACATGTAAAAGATCTGGGAATTATGATGTCTGATGACCTGACATTTAGTGAACATAACTGAGCAAATATAGCGGCAGCCAGGAAAATAATAGGATGGATTATGAGAACTTTCAAATCCAGAGACCCCCACAGCATTGCTAATACTATTTAAATCACCGGTGCTGTTCCAGCTTGAGTATTGCTAATATAGCGGCGGCCAGGAAAATGATAGGATAGATTATGAGAACGTTCTAATCCAGAGACCCTACAGCAATGCTAATACTATTTAAATAACTGGTGCTGTCCCATCTTGAGTATTGCTCAGTACTCACTCCCCCTTTCAGAGCAGGAGAGATTTCTAAATTAGAGGGAATACAGAGAACATATACTGCATGCATAAAAATGATAAAACATCTAAATTATTGGGACCATCTCGAAGCTCTCAAAATGTACTCTTTGGAAAGGAGACGAGAAGGGTATCACATAATATATACATGGAAGATACTTGAAGGACAGGTCCCAAATTTGTACAGTAGAATAACAACATACTGGAACGAAAGATACAGAAGGAAATAAAGAAAAGAACCAGTGAAGAGTAGAGCATGGTCTACTCTTAGCGACATATTAGTGACCCCCCACCCTCGGGGTCACTAACAAGCGGGCGTGCTGGTTGAGTGGACATTTGCTTGTTTGTTTGTTTTATCTTGGAGGGAGTTCTTAGCCTCTGTTCAGTCTTGGTACCTGCTTGATGGGGTTCTGGGAGTTCTTCTACTCCCCAAGCCCGGCCCGAGGCCAGGCTCGACTTGTGAGAGTTTGGTCCACCAGGCTGTTGGTGGTTGCAATGTGTTGCATTGGGTTGCAATGTTTTACCAGTTGGGGTTTGTAATGGTTCACCTACCTTTCTGGGTTGATGGCAGACATGACTACACTCTCAAAAGTGGAGTGTTCATAAGCCATTGCTCCCTTCGCCTCTGAGGTAACCAGGTTCTGACTGGTGGTTCCCGGTAGGCATGAGGACTCCAGTAACTGATGCTCTACACTATAATATGGTGGATATCAGTCCGTTAGCTTCAGGGAGCCGACGGGGCTCACCTCAGAAAATCCATCTGAATTAACCCGATATTTTCATTACGGATAGTACTGTAGTATGCACAAATCTCAATGTATCATAATTTAAAACAAAAGATTCAAATAAATATTAGACATTTTTGTGTTTAAAACATAGTCTAAAAATGAGTTGATTATTCAATAAGGCCAAACTGTATTTATTAATCAATACACTATTGATATTGCCATTCAGATTTCACAGAATAAACCAAGCAGAAATGGAAAAAATCCCCAATAACAAATGTATCATTCTAACTCCATGTAAAAATAAATTGAAAAATTGTCAAAATTTGTACAAGATTTATAAAAGGAGAGCTCACATCTACAAGGCATGGCAACTGTGATATCAACATTGATCTTGAGCTACTCACATCTACAAGGCATGGCAACTGTGATATCAACATTGATCTTGAGCTACTCACATCTACAAGGCATGGCAACTGTGATATCAACATTGATCTTGAGCTTCTCGGTAAAGTCTGCATCTGGCTTGAAGGTGTAGGTAAAGGTGGTCTCCCTGTAATACATCACCTCCATCACTACCAGCCACACCATCACTAGCATGCTCATCACCAGACCTGAGGAGCCAGTTATGTATTTATTACTAGTGTATTATCATTAAACGAGCCTTCAGATCGTGCTAACAACATTATAAATATTACCATGGGGAACTTTCACATAGTGTGTGACATTGAAATTATCTATTATTATATAACATGCACTATGGACTCGGCTCCCTCCTCAATCCAGGACATAAATGAATAAGCGGGTAATTAAGTGTGGGCGAGCATATGAATGAGTACGGTAGGCGAGTGTGTGGTGCAAAAGTGTGGCACGTGTGCGTGTTTGTGTGAGAGTATGGTGGCCAAGCATAGGGGCAGTAATTATCCAAGTGTAGTTAAAAGATGAGAACTGTGCTCATGGCATCTCATCTTCCTTATAATCTTTGTTATATGACAATTTGAGCTTCAAACTATCTTGACGTTCACTACCTTCTCATTTTATATATCCTATTCATCTAATGCTGTTTGCAGAAGAATTGCTCATTAAGTTTTTTGGCAGTTAAGTTTTATTAGCTTAATTTAAATCAATGGCCTGTTTTTCTTGAAGTCGCAGGTTTAAAATTTCTCTTCTTAATAACTTTCTTGTATCTTCTAGCTTTGGCGTACTTACCACTTCCAGCCTCTCTTTACAGCACTTGTGGTCAAGCATAGGGATTCATTTAAAAGCATTTACCCGAAGGCCACCATCCATCCAGTGGCCTTACCAGAGGTAGAACACTGACAGCTTGTCAAAGGTCCCCCATTTTTACCTTATCACGTCTTTGCACCTTTCCTAACTTAATGGTTTGTGACATGAACCCCACACCACTGCTACATATTCTACTTAGGGCATATTTTTCTTTTCTTTTTTAACTTTTCCATGAATTTAAAAAGCAATTCTGAAATTGGCAATATTGGCAATCAAAACATAGGTTCCTCTGCCCTTGATGTGGTCTTCAAATGAATGTTTATTATCCAGAACCCACCAAGATATCTTTCTTCATACGAATTTTCAAGTGTCTTTTCACAAAGTTTACAGGTCAAGTGTGGCATGTTCCTCACTCAATTATGTGGCATCTCTTCACAATCTTTGTACAGAGAGTGAACAATGCTAGCGCTAGTACTGAGCCTTGTGGGATTCCGCTGCAACATATCTCTTTGTTCAGTTCACTGTAAACATACACACCAGACATGTCAAATGCAGCAAGATTTAACTAATTTTTGCTTTCTTTCTTAAGATATGGGATGCTGCAACCATTCTTCAAGTTACGAGCTCAAGTGGATAATAAGCTGAAAAGTTGCTTTGCAGTACAGTATTATGTTCAATTAAAAAAGCATGACAGACTGTAGCTATACTATTACCAGCAATGACCCATCACGAATAACTGGATGACAGCTTACATCATACAGTATTTGATGGTTCACCCATGGTAAATGCTGCTCATGTCATTTTTCAATAAGGAAATTTAAATCAATTGTTTTTTTGCTTATATACCCCTATAATTACCAAGATTTTACAGCTTTATAGTTATTATTAAAAAATGATAAAGATTGTTATTGTACAATACAGTACATACAAAAATCATTAATTTGAATTTTGGAGCATGTGGTACCATTGTTCTCAAAAATATTTACAGTATTAAAAATATTAAATAAGAAATCGGGGGCCAGTCAATACACTGAACACACATACAAAAAACCTCAAGTAACTAAACAGAAAATTCAACATAGGTAAAGTACAGTACAGTACACATGTACAGTATTATATTTCTGCATCATATTTTATTGACACTGCTAAATTATGCAACAAGCTTTTTAAACTTACATGTTCCTCCAGTGGTTGATGTCTTAACACATTCTTCAGAAGTTTTAGGAAATGCATCCAAGCTCTTCACTATCTGGAGTGCCTTTTTTCTGTGTCGTAACATTCTGCTCTCAGTATCAAACAGTCTCCAGTGAAAAATAAACATTATTATTATTATTATTATTATTACTGTATTATTATTATTATTATTATACAATACTTTGCTATTAATATCTGAAGGGACAGAATCACATTAAATATTTCACAACAGATTTACAGATAAAAAGTTAAATAAAACTAAAATAATAAAAATAAAAGCAGCTATGAATCTATGCTTCTATTGCTAGATATCGGGCACTTTTTATTCATAAGAGTTCACACTATATTGTTAGATGCTAGGCCCTTTGTGTGAAACTTCTCTCTCTCTCTAAAAGGCATTCTAATGATGAGTAATGTTCCAACTCGAGGATACCTGCATTATCACAGTAATGTTCCTCCTCTGTCACAGGAGGTTATATAGCACCGAGAAGCCGTCCATGGCTCTGCCCAGCAACACTCTGCCTAGTAAATGCTGGATCCCTCCGACCCTGAAGCTCAAACTTGCCTGTAACCCAAGAAATAACTGTGGGAGGAGGGTAGAAATAGCCTAAGCTACTCTATCCCTTTGAGATGTATTTTTTTTCTTGTCTCAAGAAACTTACTTGAACTTGGGAGGCGTGTTATCAACAGAGACAGGTGAAGGATGTCTCTATCACAGCACTGTGAGTGCAACACCCAGGCGGTGCAGGGGCCAGACGTCCACCCACCTACAACGTTATATCAAGCGTTCCTTCCTTCTCTATATCAGGTGCAGCTTGAGTGAAGGTTTTCACCTCCCGGTGACCTGACTCTTGTCCTTCCTGTCACCAGCTCACACAGACGCTGCTTGTTGTGTTGTTGCTGGCAACACCTGTGAGCACTTCTCTTGCCGCTACAACGTTCACGTTTTCTATGTTACCCATCCGCTGGCAAGGGTTACAGAGGCACATTTATTTATTTATTTATATACAAGAAGGTTCATTAGGTTTATTAGGGTACAGAGACTTCAAGTTTTACATTCTTGTAAAGCCACTAGCACGCACAGCGTTTCGGGCATAATGGGCTCGGGAACTGAACCCCACATTTCATTTAAGTAAATACTGAGCTAAATAAAGTCCATCTTTGGCTAACTGCCAACAAACTCACCCTTAACATTGACAAAACTTTCTATATTCTGTTTGGCAATAAATCCTCTAGTCATATAAATCTCAAAATAAACAATACCCAAATTTGTAACAAATTAGATGGCAAATTCCTTGGCATTCTCATTGACCACAAGCTGAATTTCCAGGGACACATTCTAAATATATCAAAAAAGTTTCAAAAACTGTGGGCATTCTTTCTAAGATCAGATATTATGTACCACGCCCTGCCCTGGTGACTCTCTATTACTCCCTTATCTATCCTTATCTCAACTATGGTATTTGTGCTTGGGGTTCTACTACCCAAAATCACTTACGTCCTCTAATTACCCAACACAAAGCTGCTATTAGAACAATATCCAACTCTGGCCCCAGACATCACTCGGTACCCCTACTCAAATCTCTGAATATGTTAGATATTAAGTCTCTGCACATTCTCTCATGTGTATTATACATATATAAAACGCTAAACTATAATGCCAATCCTGATCTTAAAAGCTTCATAGAAGGTTGTAACAGAACCCATGAGCACCACACCAGAAATAAATACAGTTTTGATATTCCTAGAGTACGTCTTAATCAAACTAGAAATGCTCTGCAAATCAAGGGGCCCAGAATGTGGAATGACCTTCCCAACCATGTTAAAGACTGTACCTCTCTCAACCAGTTTAAGATAAAAACTAAACACTACCTAATAAATTCCCTGTAATCTACCTCACTCCTCTATTGTCAACCCATGTCTGTTATTTTCTTTTTTTTTTTTAATCAACACTGTTTGTCAACCTATTGTATTTGTGCTGCTTTTTCAGTCATGTTCCCCCTTTTTTTATCTTTATTTGTATTTGTTCTCAACACTTTTTATTCTTTATGCTCAATTAGTATTAAGTTCTAGATATTAATGTTTTTCTTGCCCGAAACGCATTGCGTAATAGTGGCTTTAGGCATTGTATGTACTAGCTCTATCTATATATCAATCCATTAATGTAACATCACTTGTATGTATATACCTTACCTGAATAAACATTTGAATTTAGCTAAGTAAGTTACAGTCTTGATGAGCTAGTAACAAATTTCAGTGCACATCATCATCACAGGGCTCGAGACAGACCACAAGTACAGTTTCGAAGCTAAGCAACTGACATATGTGGAGAGCTATTGTCATAATTGGGGGCCTGACAGCTGAGTAGACAGCGCTCGCGGTTCCTAGTCCTAAGAGTTCGGGTTCGATACCCGGCGGAGGCGGAAACAAATGGCCAGAGGTGCTTTCACCCTGCTGTCCTGTTCACTTAGCAGTAAACAGGAACCTGGGAGTTAAGCAGCTGCTACGGGTTGCTTCCTGGGGATGTGTGTGTGTGAAAATTAGGATTAAGGACTTGCCCGAAACGCTATGCGTGCTAGTGGCTGTACAAGAATGTAAGAACTCTTGTCTAAATAAATAAATAAAGATATCTTGAACATTTGTTATATAATTGTTTATTTATTTATTTATTTATTAGAGCAGCATAAAACATCCACTGAACAGTGTGACATTCTAATTGCCTGAATTAGGCTATGATATCGATATATGTATATGGCAGGTGGCTGCAGGTAATGAATCATTCCCCAATGGTCAACATTTCAATTGTAAACTATGTGAACATGAGCTGGGACATAATCTCCAACACTATATCTGTGATTGCCCTGTTATAATTAAGTGACTTCAAACCAAATGGTATGAGGTACTTAATTTGAGTCCTGTAATTACTTCATACACTCAGGAATACTGGAAGATATTAATGTGCTATACCCAGATTTTGCTAGTGGAGACTGTAGCAAGTATATATTATGTAAATAATATACTCGCTCCAAACTCTCATTAGCTTAACGAAATTAGTCTGCGGTTTAACGAGATCAAACTGCGTTGGCAAAGATGGAGGAATGAATAACTGGGTAAAAGTCGGAATAAGGAATACCTTTACGGGAGATGGGACAAGTGTGGATAGCGTCCTTAGTGGCAGCATCCGCACGCTCATTTCAAGAGACGCCAACATGGCTGGGAACCCAGCAAAACTCTACCAACTTAAATTTACTGGAGATAAGAAACAGCCAATGTTGAATCTCAATGACCACCGGGTGGACCTGTAGCGAGTAGATTATCCCAATAATATACTCGCTCCAAATGCTTTGTTAATATTCTTGCCAACCTTTGGAGATGACTGAGGTGAGGCGTTGTCCGGGCAACACGGTGAGGTGTTGCCCGAGCATATAAGCAGCAGAATAGCAAACATTAACCAGAGTCTACTTTCAAGTGTGGTCTAGAGCAGACACTTGCGAGATACTGTACCGACGCTCAGTGCACTCAACTCACACCAAAGTATCACCTGTGTACGTCTGTATATTCGACCAAATATATATATAGTATCTTAGTGTTTATTTGTCACCATACTTTACGTAACAATAGAAACGTTACATTGGTGACCCCATAGAGTTTCGACAATACCCAGCCACGATGGACTACAACATGGACTCTCACTGGACCTCTACTGCTACTGTTTGCTGTGATGGAACACTGCCAACACCCTCGCCACAGCTATGATTTTCATCGCGTCCATCTCTGCATTTTCATCTACTACGGCTTGCTGCTCCACGATCGTTACTCACTCATCTGACAGCCTCATCAATGATTACATCATGTTGGATCTACAGCTTGTCCTGCCGACTCTCCGTCGCTGCCAGGGCACTGCTTGTCCTACGCCCACGACAGCTGCTCTGTCATCAGATTCATCTACACGTTCACTGCATTTTGATACTCGGCCGACTCAAGCCCTTTGCGCAGTACAGGACTTACAGCTTGCGTTTCCGACACTTCGTCGCCTTCAGGACAATTCAGCTCAAGATGTGATTACCTCGTTTTCCTAACTACGTGCCTACATTACCTCCTAATGTCCTGGTGCCCGAGCCCATCCGCCCCGGATCTAAATGCTCCACCAGCGACCCAAGGACGCAACAATTATGCACATTCTTCTCTCCTGCTACACCGAGCTTGTCCACACACTGCCTACATCTTTTGGTACCAGACTACAATTTCCAGTCAACAATGTAGTACTCGGCGTGTACAGTCCTAATCAACCCAAGACGCTACAGCTTCGACACAGAGCAGACAGCAGACTACGACCGCATCGAGCCGCCACGCTCTCGCTCCCCGAGTTCAGACACTCACAATTCTCAATCGAGCCGCCACGCTCTCCCACATAGAGGTCCACGACTCTGGCCTCACTCACCTCTCTGCTCCAGGCTTCGTCTCAAACGTCTGCGACACTGCTAAATCCTCTCACAGCAAAACAGGATTATAGGACCCCAAAGCTATGAGGGCACTACGAGAGTCAACTATCACCACAAAGGAGGATTGACAACGAGAAAACAGGAGACGAAGAGCATAGAGAATAGCATAAAGTTCTGCTGTAAAGATGCTAGCCTCCGGAGGAAGGCGACACATATAAGTGTGGTCAGGAAAAACAACAGAGTAGCCAACACCGTCCGCAGACTTAGACCCATCGGTGAAGATGGAAAAGGAGCTGGAGTGTGAAGAAAAGTAATTAACTTGAATGTAAGATCTCTAGGCAAACACTTTGATGATGTTAGTGTCCTAATTCAAACAGTTGACAACAAATTCTCATTTGTTATACTTGCTGAAACGTGGTTAAAAGAGGATACTACACAATTTTCTTTAACATGCCAAACTATTCAGCAACTCACAACTGTCGCCCAATTCAGAGAGGTGGTGGTACTGCTCTTTACTACCACCGACATGCTTTAAAGTAATTAGAACTAGAAACTCCTGTGGAGAGTATATCTTTGCCAGTTTCAGAATCAAGGGCACCGAGGCTATCCTGACAGCGGGAACAGTCTACAGAATTCCTAACACTGATGTGTCTGAATTCAATTCTAACCTTAGAAATCTAATACTAGCTAACAGACTGAACAAAAACCATCTTATAATTTCGGGGGATTTTAATATTGACCTCTGCGAGCCTGATAACCCTCCTGCTGCTATAGTTTCCTCAACTGTATGAATTCCTGCTTCCTCATACCCTTTATCACTAGACCTACTAGAATCACTGATTCGACTGCTTCTGCTCTTGACCACATCTGGACTAACATAACCTCTCCACTTCAGGGATAATCATTGACCAGAAATGCTCTACAAATCAAGGGGCCCAGAATGTGGAATGACCTTCCCAACCATGTTAAAGACTGTACCTCTCTCAACCAGTTTAAGATAAAAACTAAACACTACCTAATAAATTCCCTGTAACCTACCTCACTCCTCTATTGTCAACCCATGTCTGTTATTTTCTTTTTTTTTTAATCAACAATAAGCTTTAGGCTGCACAATGAAACTTCTATAAGCAACTTTATTGCTGCTGCTGCTAATATCAACTGGGAGACTGAATTAGGTAACATAGTGAACATCAACCTAGCAGTGCAAACATTTCTTCAGAAAACTCTGAGCCTCTATAACACCCACTGTCCAATGCTAACGAAACAAGTCACAACTAAAAGGCTAAACAATCCTTGGCTTACAAAGGGTTTACTAAAATCTATTAATACAAAACATGACCTTGAGAAGAAGTATAGGTTAGGAATCGTCTCCAAAGAAGTTTCAAAGGTTTACTCATCAATGCTGCCTAAAATAATTAGGACAGCCAAAATAAAATACTACGAAAATAAATTTGCCCAAATTAAGGGCAACATTAAGAAAACATGGAGCACTATTTCCCAAATATTAG